TAATGGTTCCCAAATCTGGCTATATATCAGATTAAATGGGGGTGTATTGGAGCAGGGTAACTTTAGAATGTGGTCTCCTAGTCTCTACCCCAAACCAACAGAATGAGAATCTGTGTTTTTTGTGATGGTGTCTGCTGGGTTGCCAGGTTTTGGACCCACAGATGAAGTTTAACTTCACCTAGAGTCTGAAAACCCCTGTTCCTCCTCCATAAGATTGTAATAGTAACACTTTTGCAAACATCAGGTTTGCAGTCTGGCTGTCCCTGAGGCTCCAGGCTTCAGGAGTCATCCTTGCTGTTAGTGGCCAAGTGAAATGACGTGCGCGCCCTCCTTACATCTCTGAGGTGCCTGAGGGGAGACTTGGCCTTGACTGAGACTTTCCATGGGGAGCCTTTGTCTCCAAACCCTCCAGACTCTGTCCTTCCAGCTTGCGGTGCAATCCTCCTTTCTCCCCACTCTGCCCCTCATTCTGCCTCTCAGTGCTAATAAAAACCATTGCATAGGATGTTTATTAAAGTCGGGGGGTATTTATCCAACAAATATGTATTGATAATCATTCTGTGCCAGGAACTGTGCTGAGAATGGAATGGAAGGCAGCCACCCCACAATAAAAGAAAATGATAAAAATAAAACAATAAAACAAACAGATATGATCTCTACCTTCATGAAGCATAGTCAGTTGGGCGACTTCTCCAACTAGCCCCCAATCATCCAGACAATACCCAGCAAGCCCAACCTTGTCCACCAAAATGATGCATAAAATTCCAAGATCATTTTTTATCTAAACAAGGATAAACCATGCCTCTCCTCAAGAAGGCAAAAACCTCTTAAATTCTGTTTATTTTAATAAAATTTCCCTTCCTAGTATACCCACTTTATAGAGTTGCTATAGTGACAAGACAAATATCTAAAATGCATGGCCTATCACTTTGGGTCCTAAAATGACAATAAAATCATTTGCCACCTAATCATATCATAGATTACCCTAAATCAACAAGAAACATAATAAAGAGAGGCAAAACCTCTATCTTCAATAAAAGTAAGAGACAGCTATGACCCTGAACCACAATATATAAAAGCATAAAGCAGATGGAAGAGTGATGGCACTGTACCTGATTCACTTTGAACATCTGCATTCAGGTAGGTAATGACGCCACAGTCCTTCCCTAAGGTATGGTTCTGTATTTTATTTACATCAGTGAAGCTGAAGGACCCATTGAAATGGCTTTTTCAGAACAAGAATGAGTCTGTTCAGATATAATTCTCTTGCCTATCTAGTGGCAACCCTTCAAAATCTCTAAAAAAAAAAAAAAAAAAATTAGAGTTAGTCTCTAAAAACAAAGACCCCGGGCAGGCCGAGTGGCTCAGTTGGTTAAGAGCTCACTCAAGAGTTTGAGCTCTGAGCAACAGTGGTTCGATGCCCGGCCCGAGCTGAGTTGCCACTGAGCCGCCAAAAGGTGGCAGGATGGCTCAGCTAAAAAAAAAACAAAGACCCCATCTTTTCTAAATATAGCAGATAATGCCAACTGTAGAATGAGTCTAGAAGGTCATAACCTATTCTTTGGTTTATCTTTTCCTATGTGAATGGAGTGCTTCCTGTCATCAAATATATCATCCACAGACCTTCAAATTGTACATATACATGTTAACCTTTTGGTTTAAGTACAACAGAATTCAAGGGGAGCATGGCTTTGAAAACCCCAAGATTCTGCCTGACTTTCTCCTCATTGGTACCATTGGGTATTGCTTTGAGCCCAGTTGTGTACTTTCGTGGGGCTTCTCACAGAGCCCACACCATGGTGGCAGAAGTGCTAAGCTGGCTCAGTCTACAGGACGTTTGGGAGTTTTCTTTATTAAGGGGGTTCAATTGGTCTTCCCCGGGGTAGTGCAAGTCAGGACAAGATGTTCTTACTCTGACATAAGGAAAATTGACACAGGAAGATGAATGACAAGTGGTTCTACCTCCTCAACCTTCAAACCAGTGCTTTCTATAAAACAGATTAAAAAGAGCACATGTCCTGGTATTCAAAACAGGGAGATCCAGAGTTAGCTCTTCTTTTTCTCTGTTTCTATATTAATAGTAATAAAACAAGTTGAGGAATAGTTTTTCCCTCACAGAGTTCCCTCTTGCACAATAAGCATTTAAGTGAAATCCTCTCTGATCTGTATTAAGCCTCTCTGACCACCGTCAGAGGGAGTTTCACGTGGGAACATGTGCGGAATATTTGATAACGAACTGTGATTTGCTGTGGTTTGCATATCCAAGAAAAAAAGTTTAGCCTTTGCACTCTGGGAGTTGACTGGCCTAATTATTCTGTTTCGACCTTTCACATAAGAAAACAATTTACTCCTCTTTCAACCCCACTTATGGTTAATGGAACAAATGAGAAAAGGAGAGATTGCAGAAAAAAAGCTGAAATAATTACATTGGGGTATAAGCTTCAGTTAACACTTTGGACTAATTAAAGGAGAAGACTAATGAGAAAAAATTCTGAGTAAGGACCATTTTGAAAGAAATGTAACCTTATTTCCAGACATGAATAATTACCACCAATCATGGTTAGAAAACAGGCAGAGGTCATGGCAGGCCTGCTCTGAGGAACAGGGGAGGCTGTTTCCGAATCTGCACATTGCTTGAAGATGCCGTTGCTGAAGTAGTTGTACAACTTTGTATCATTAAAGGGATAAAACTTCCCTTTCCAAAAACAGGAATATCAATATGGACTCTCTTTGTGGTACCCAGAAGTCAGCTTCTCCATTTCATTCATTTATTCATTTTACAAATATTTGTTGAGAGCCTTCTGTGTGTCAGGCACTGTTCTTGGCCACAGAGATTTAGCACTGAATGATAAAGGAAAAACTCCATTCCTTGTGGATCTTCGGAGAAACAGGAAATAAATAATTACAAGTTATAGTATGTCAGATGTGTTGAGTGACTGAGTGGAAGAGGTGAAAGGAATTGAGTAGGAGGATAAAAAGGAATGATGGGAAGGGTAGAGAGAGGTCAAGATTGCAGTTTTAAACAGGAGGGTCCAGATAGGCCTCTTTGACAAGGTGATATCTGAGCAAAATCTCTAGCCATTGGGCAGCCTGAAACATGCTGAGAAGGTTAACTCCTTAAATAATAACCACCTAAATACTGCATGGTGTGAGAACTGCTTGGCCTGTCTGAAGTTACAGATTTCATTCCCAGTCAAAATCATTAGTCAAAAGCAATCTAAATTAACTGAGAATGCAATTGTCTCCTGAGAGTGAAGCATTGTTTAACCATGGAAATATTTAGGATTAGTATAAAAATGTTTAAAATAACCATAGTACTAATCCTGTTAGTGTAGGAATTTGTGCATAACTAGTATTTTATAGATTTGAAGAAATCTGGTATCTTAGAAAATGACCTTTTAATTTTAGTTTCAAATGTGTAATTGAATAATTGATTTTGGTGAATATTGCTAAGGTTACAGAGAGTACTAGAATATTAAGAGGACTCAAGTTTCATCATATTCATAAAGTTAATTTGATTTATCTGAATTCCTTAAGTGTTTGGAAGGGTTTATCAATCAGACATTTTTAACTGAAAAAGAAATGGAATATATTAAATTTATAAATGATGTTTATAATATTTCAAGGTGTTTAGCTTACCAAGTTTATAAGTGGAAATTAATCTGTATTATTCAAATCCCCTTAACAAACGGTCATAAATATTAGCTAGATTTTTTTAATAGAATAATAAGATGAACCTAAAAGTTCACAGAAGAATTAGGTTTCAGCATCTGTTACTTTAATAAAAGAGTCTTAATAAAACTTTCTGAAAATCTTTTCTGCTCTTAAAACTACCTCTAAATGTACAGGACTTCTAACAGTTATCAGCAATTGTTTATGGTAAGGTTTCTAGAACTCCAGGTCTTTGCCTCTTTCCTTCCACTGCTGATTTTTCCACTCACACCTTCATTGGCAGTGTGTATTTTAATGAAATGACTATTTAGGAAAAAAAAAAATTTCTTTTGGCATCCTGACAAAACTCTAGGCCATGCCTGGGAGAGGGTCGCAGCAGCATGCACACTATTTTTTCCTACCATTGGGTGGCTTTCCTTTGGTAAAAATTGTTCTTGAATACTGGAATGTAGCCCAGGCAGAATTAATTTTCAAGATTACAAGTTATGCACATCTCTTCTGGAACAATTACTTTTTCATTATACATGCCATTTCCTAAAAAGTATCATTTTATAGCAAGAAATGTACCTTGTGTGATAAAGAGTAGTGTGCTCCAGCTTGTGTCAAACTAATGAGATATCAATTAAAGGGTAGTATTTATTCATCTGAATTAATTGAATAACTATGTTGCTCCACTGGGAGAGGTTCTTAAACAGTCTTGAACATTACATTATAATCTACATTTGTTTTTTCATGTGTTTTAAAGCTACTTATAAATATAATAAATTCCTTTTCTGTATCCGTCTGACTCCATAGCTATGTTTTGGTCAAATTTCTGAGCTTTAAGACATGACTTGAAGAATGGGAACAGGCCCTAGAGTTGTTTGTTTGTTTGTTTATATATATTTATTTATTTATAAATATATTAAGCAAGAGAAGAATTATGAAAATCTAAAAAGATGATCTTAAGTTTTGCTTGAAGATTTATAAATTTAACTGTGAGGTTCATCTTCCTTATACAATTCTTCAATTCATGATTTTTGATGTGTTATAGATATCATGGCTGTGTGTTTTATGGTGTGTATGTGTGTCCTACCAGAAGCACATGTTTTTGTTAATAGCAGTGGAGGAAGTGGTAGAATTGGCAGCAAATGGAGAAAAGGCTACCTTAATGCATGCCAGTGATATAAAACTCAGGGGTACTATGTGTATAGGAGCTGTCAAATGCTGTCAAGAACTCGTGAGAGATTTTTTTTTTTAGAAAAAAAGTATTTGATGAAACAGGATACCTTTTGTAATTGGAGACAAAAACTTTGGCCTTTCATAAGTTTTGATCTTGTTTTTTTCAGGAGGGGTTCCTGGCACTGTTCACAATTTCACTTGAGGAGGGGGAATTTCTTCATCCAGCAGCCCATCTATCTCTGTTCCTGCCCTTGGCCTCCTCTCCCAGCCCACTGTGAGTTGTTTGCTTTCATACTTCCATGGAAACTTATGCCTGTCTCTGTTATGATATTTATTTATTTATTTATTTATTTATTTATTTATTTATTTATTTAATTTCATACTCATTAGGGTAGGATATTTTCCATAAAAATGAAAACTGAGCATATGACAGATTAAAAATATTATGGTGGATATAAAACAAAAACAGTAAACTGTAATGAAGTTAAGAGCATATGAAAAAAAGCCAGCATTTTTGCTAATGGTACATAATCTTATTTTTAAACACGCGCATTACACACACACACACACACACACACACATACACACACACACACACATACATATAAAAGACACAGTATTAAATATTTTGCACCTGAAATAACTTCAGTTTGTTACTCAATTCTTATTCAGCTCATTTAATAAAAAATAAAGAATTTTTGCAGATTAGCCTCACTATAAGGAGAATGATGATTTTTCAGTTATCTTTTGTTCAGATGTAGAGCTTCTTCCTTCGTATCCCCTTGAAGAAGGGGGAAGAGAATCAAGAAAATAAACTATTTCAAAGTGTACTCATTTGAGGGGTACAAGTTTAGGGCAAAATATGAGAAAGAGGAAGTAGGCACAGTAAAAAAGCTTTCTGGGAGAAAGAGTAAACGATGTAAAAGCCCTTAAGGGACAGAGGGTAAGGCAAGTATTGGAAACTGTAAGTCGTTTTAATTGACAGGAAGACACGCAGACTTGGAGACCAGGTGGTGCTTGAGAGAGAAGGCTAAGATCATGATGGTCCTGGTAAGTCCCACTTTCTACAGATTGCAATGGGGAGTCATTAAAGGGTTACAGAATGAAGGGACATGACCCGAATCCACTTTAGGAGGGACCCTTGGTTTCAGTGTGAGGGAGGCATTAAAGGAGGATGGGTCTGGAGGCAGACAGGCCAATTGCGAGGTTGCCACTGATTGTTTATGTGTTCACTGTCGGCAAGCTTTTCAAGGGGAGAGGACATTGCTCTGGACCGAATATTTGTGTCCCCCTAAAATTCATATGTTGAAACCTAATCCCCAATGTGATGTATTAGGAGGTGGGGCCTTTGGAAGTGAGTTAGATCAGGAGGGCAAAACCCTCATGAACGGGATTAGTACCTTTATAAAAGAGCTCACAAAGAGCTCCTCTGTCTCTTCTGCCATGTGAGGACACACGAAGACGACTGGCTGTGTCTGAACAGGAAGTGGGCTCTTACCAGACACTGAATCTTCTGGCACCTTGATCTTAGACTTTCCAGCTTCCAGAACTGTGAGAAATAAATTTTTGTGGTTCATAACCCACCCAGTCTATGATGCATTGTTGCAGCAGCCCAAAAGGACTAAGATAGACATCTTATTCGCCAGAATTGGGGAAACACTACACCCAAATTCCTTAACAGAGCAAAATTACAGATTCTTTTTATACCTCAATACAACTGAGACCTCTCTAAAAATTGCTTCATGGTCAGTGGAAGCTGGGAAAAGCTCCTGACACTCAGAGAGATGAGACCTTCTGACACTCAGCAGGGAGAAAAAGGTCATCCCTGTGGTCATAAGCTAGGAAACTTCAAAGAGGCTACTTGAAAAAGGCCTTATTGATAGATTGCATTATGAAAGGATTACAGTATGTATGCAGTAAAACTTTAAGGGGGTGTTTTGTTGATTATCACATTCTTTCTTGAGTTACTAAATAGCAGCACTGTCTTGTTATTGGAAGGGCTGACTTTTCTCATCAATAGCTAGTGCCTAGAACAATGCCTGGAATATGGTTGGTGCTCAAGCAATATTTGTTTATTTTTGTATGTGCCAGGCACTCTTGTAAGGACCAATTCTTATAACAACCCAGTTCAGATACTTCAAATATCCTGATTTTAAGGATGAGAAAACTGGCTAAAAAATCTTAAGGTACAAACTGAGATATGTCTGAGTACAAAGCCCATTATTTTGATTATTCTGTTATACTGCGTTTGTGGGACCTGTGGATTACTCAAGTGATAATATCCAGCACATAATTGAAAATGAGTGGCTAAAGTTCAAGGTAAAAATCTAGCACATGGATGTACATTTCACAATCATTTGTATTTAAATCACAATTGAAGGTAAAGGAGTGGAATAATATTATCTGGGCAGTGCCTTTCAAACCTTTTGTCTACAGTCAGAAATAGATTATTTAATAATGATCTAACACACACACACACACACACACAACACAACACACACACAGATGCATGTGCACATACGTCTCCTGTAATAATACCTTTCTTTATTAAATGTGATATAGTTTATTCTTTTCAACTGTATTTTCTTCTATGTGATTCTATTTCATTTAAAAAATGCTATTTACAGAGGCCAGCTGAGTGGTGCGTTGGTTAAGAGCTGGCTTGGGACACCAGCTCTGAGCAGCAGGGCCCGGGTTCGGATACCACATTAGGGCCAGTGACACTGCCCTCTACAGCTAAGATGGTGAACAACAGCTCAACCTGGAGCTGGGCTGCCATGAGTCGCCGCGGACAGCGTAGGCTGCAGCCCCTGCTGCAGTGGGTTGCCAGGGGCTACCATGTGTAGCCAGCAGCCAGAGTGAGCATCCAGCAGCCGCAGTGAGCGGCCATCCAGAAGCCGGTGACTGATCTGCCTCCCCCGGGAAGAGCGCAATGATGGTGCCAACTTGGGCCAGTGAAGCGGCATCTTCCACAACTGGACTGAAAAACAAAACGACAGCAACTTGTCTGTTCCCCTTCCCCCGATTCCACAGCACTGCTCCCCTCCTTCAATTCCCCAATAAAATATTTAAATAAATAAATAAAAATAAAAAATGCTGTTTACAATCCATTAGGCTCATTACATGACCCAGTCATAGGTTATGCTCTGTAATTTGAAAACCATGACCTTCAGTAATCTGTAGTGACGAAGCCACCCAACTGACCATATCTGGCATGGAGATGTGTCCTCTTGTCTTTGGGTGGCTATTTTTGGCCATGCAGATGTATTATGCTCAATCAAAATTTTACACATCACACTTTTTTTTTTAAAGATTTTATTGGGGAATTGGGGGAGCGAACAGTGTTGGGGAATCGGGGAACGGGAACAGACAAGTTGCTGTCCTTTTATTCTTCAGTCTAGTTGTGGAGAATGTTGCTTCACTGGCCCATGTTGGTATTGTGATCATTGCACTCTTCCCAGGTGAGGCAGATCGGTTGCCAGCCATTGGACGACCACTCACAGTAGCTTATGGCAGCCCACTGCAGCCTATTCCTTTGCCGGCAACTCACGGCAGCCCAGCTCCAGGTTGAGCTGTTATTCACCATCTTAGCTGTAGAGGGCGCAGTGTCACTGGCCCATGTGGGATCTGTACCAGGGCTCTGCTGCTCAGAGCTCAAGCTCCCAAGCCAACTCTTAACCAATGAGCCACTTGGCCGGCCCCTGCTCAAGCAAAATTTTAAATATTGGAAATTTTGTTTAAAAGTCTGGATTCCCAGATCCTTTTGATAAATTGAAATTTTTTGTGAATAGTCCTATTACCTATTGGCAGAGATTGACTAGAGCTGAGAAACTGTTCTTTCCTGGTTCCCCACAGACTTAGCCCCTTCTATTATCTCCCTGACACTGAATATCAGCTACCATTTAAGACTGTTGCTTGTGTTGTTTTCTTGTTTCCTTATAGGAGAAAAGGTAGTTCTTTACTGTATTAGTGAGTAAGGGAGCCACATTATTTTTCTCATACAACCTGCTTCATTTATTTATGTTATCTTCAGATCCCTGTAAGCACTTGGGTTTGTAACCTGTAGTATACAGTGTTAAAGGCAGAGAGCCAAGGGTGGAAGCCTGGGAAAGCCCACAATAGAAGAAAGAGGAAAAAGAGCCTGAGAAAGTTACCAAAAAGGAATAACCAAGAGTTAGGAGCAAACCCATAAGAACAGAATGTAAAGAAAATTGGGATCAAGAGCATCCAATTCAGGCTGTATGATCTTTTAAAAGTCAGAGGCATTTGTGGATTTAATTGGCAAAAGCTGCCAAAGAAGAGTCTGCTCTCTTTAGTTGATTCCTCTCTGTGTCTGATCCCCACTGTCAGGAAGAAATATATAAAGGATTTCTAGAGGGGAACATGTCTTCACAGGTCAGGACTTAGAGGATGAAGATACTCAGTGCAGTAGCCAGATATAATTTTAGTCGTGGTGTTTGTTGGATGGAACAAGGATGTGGCTTTCACATATGTCTTGCTATTTAGAGCCAAGATTCATGAGACAGAGGTGGTAATGGAAGCCCCTGTCTCCATATGGATTGGGACTGAGCACTCTAGCATAATTGTAGCCATCCATTGGAGTGTCTCAAATCACCTCCCACTCATGGGTCCAAGAGCCTGGCACAATCACTGAGGTCAGAAGTGTGGCATATTATTAAGCTTTGAGTCCATCCTAAGGGTGGCTAACCATCATGGCACATCATTGAGATGGGTATAGAAGATGAGTTGAAGTCCTAGGAATAAGACTTTGAGAGAATTTATGTTACATAAAGAAGTCCTTTACAATCAGCATTACTGAGGTTACTCCCTGTAGTGCCTGGAATAATAGAGCATTTGAAAAAAAATTGGGGGTCTTAAATTTCGATTGCATCACAAAAAAACAACAGAAATCACTTGGAAAGTAACAATTGGATATTGCCTTAGACAATTTGAAGGAGCTAAACTGAATAAGCTCTTCTGTAGTTTGCTAAAAAATATTAAACTCTTACCCCCAAACAAAAACAATTTTAAAAAGGATTTCCACCTTACCACTAATCTTTTTGTTTAATAGCAAAGGAAGAAGAAACAGAAAAGGCAGGCTGTTCTCCCTAAATGTCATTCTTGGAAGCAGAGAAGTGTTTACTTTTCTTTTGTTCTTTCAAATCCCAGGGGAGCAAAGCAGGCTGGAGCTCTTCTTTGCCTTTTCATCTGCCCGGAAATAACGCACAAAGGCAAGGCTTCTCTAAGCAGGGCAGAGATATTTGTGCTTTCTTTTTTTCTTTTCCCTGTTGAGCTGAGCCTTTAAAATATCTGCCCACTGTGCTTCTCTTGTAAGCACCATGACTTTGTGTTTATTCTTTATATAACCACATTTTCCATGTTTACCATATTAGCAAGTTAAAATGAATGCATTTTAAACTATTCACAAGTGGAAAGATTGTATTTCTTTGATTATGAATAAAATTAGAGCTGCTAAGGCACTCTAAGGGTAAATTTACATAGAATTCATATCCATGAAATACTCCATTTGTACATAGCTAGCCATAGCATGAACTAATCAAACCTCCAAGACCTTAGATTTTACAATGAATAAAATAATGATATTGATAATAAACATAATGAGAATTTTATTCCCTGCAGAAGTACTGTCAAGTATAGGACAAAATGGCCAACATGATCTATAGGACAAAAATGACTTATTGGTACTTATGAGACTAAAGAGGGCCACTTTTTTACCCCAAACTCATCAATCAAATCCCTCCTCCCCTCCGGAAGGAGATCAAGAGTATTTGAAGCATGAGGCCAAGAGGAAAAGAGGATATCCTTGAGCAGATCTAATAGGTCTGGTAGAGATCTAGTAGGGATGCTTGTATTCAGACAGGTTGGCAAGAGAAGATGAAATGAGAGAATGAGGTGCCATGCATGTTTGGAGCACATAGCAAGAAATAAATAAATGGTAGCTCATGGGATTAGGATAGATATGGCCTCCAATTGCAACAGAGTCTTGCTGTTTATATAACAATAACATTGATACTTCACATGTATTTTGCA